CCCGGGAATCAGGCCAGGATTGAGTGAATCGTCAACGTTGGTACTACTGTATCCCTTACCGCACCTGAGCCCAGCCATTCACACATATTACTTATAAGAGATGCATCAAACTTCATCAACTTCTGCGCCGGCCGCACGCTGACGAACGGCCGCCAAAACCAAAACGGCTCGTGCAACGGCATCCCCATGGGGCGTATCCCCGCCGCCACCAACATGATCTCGTCCATCATCACCTCTCCGCAGCCCGGCGACCGCCTCAAGCCCAACACGACGTTCGCTGTGACCATCCAGACGAGGCATCTCCGTGCGGGATTCCTGGTCAACCCGAGCACCAACTACTACACGGCCCCGCAGGACTTGGACGAGAACGGGGACATCATCGGGCACTGTCACATTTCCATTCAGGAAATTGGAAATCTGAGATCCTTGGTCCCGCCTGATCCCACGAGATTCGCTTTCTTCAAAGGAGTGGACGATGCGGGGGATGGCAAGGGCGGGCTGAGAGCCGAAGTTACCGGGGGATTGCCCGAGGGAGTGTATCGTGTGTGTACCATGGTGGCGGCGAGAAATCACCAGCCTGTTACCATGCCTGTGGCGCAGAGGGGTGCACAGGATGACTGTACCAAGTTTGAGGTTGGCGTGTGAATTTGAATGTGTTCAGGACTGAGGAGGCATTCATGTGGATCAGGATGTGAGACAGGGACACAGCTGTGAATGGTTATTGTCTGTAAACATGTCGCTATTCCTTCGTCGATGTTCTGCGTTGCTTTGTTTAACTAAGGTAGGTAGCTAAGTAGGCAGGTAGTTTGCTTTGTCAGAGGTGTCTCAATGTATTGTCTCTAAATGAAACAAAGCACGAACAGCCATTAACTCTTGAAAGCAACGCTATTCATCTGGCCCCCATCCCTAGTCATGGTTTAGATAAAAACCGCGTACCTTCTCTCAAGCTTCCGTTATGAAGTTTCAGGGGCTTTGCTCTTCATCAGACGCTAATATCATACGCTTGTGTATTGGCGTTGTCATCGCTTCCGATCCTCTTTCACAAACGCAGAACGAACGGATAAGAATAACCAACAAAGACAACCACGATGTACTCGGCTGTTGCTTTCCTCGCCAAGCACCTCGAGATTGACATTCTCGAGGTTACACACTTCGCCGTCTCCTGCTTCTACGACTATGTCGCCGGCTTTCTGCACGGCCACCCATCAGCCTTGGACCCAGAGCTCGCGCAAATCAGAGCCAGGGTCCAGTTGACCATGGCACATCGCCCCGTAGGATGGCTTTGGACGCAACACACTACCGACGCCCAGCAAGCCTGGGGCCAGGATGAGCACGCCACCGCTTTCGTGTTGCGGGTGCTAGATCACATCTACATGAAGGGGCATCTTGTCAATGGGGTCACCGTTGACGAGGCGGTCTACCAAATCCATCGGCGGCTTTGCATGCTGCAGTCTATCTGGCTGGAAAACGGTGTATGGGTCGGGGGCCGAGTGCTTCAAACGGAGCTCAAGAGGGCGCTCACCAAGGCCATGAGAGACGTGGAGCTCGATTGGGCTATTACGAGGTAACAAAGTCACAGGGGAACGCACGTATTTATCAGCAGTGGTAGACCGAACTGGTCCGCTTGTAAGGTAGGTATAGAGGAAGAAATTGTCTATTCATTTCAACGTTCGTTGGCTCTGAGCTTTTGTGTTAACTATTAATTAGGTACCCAGTATTCCTTGGTAAAGCTTCCGCTGGTCAGTGATGGCATGGCGTCGGCCCCGATGAGAGTCTCCCAGGGGGCAGACATCCGGTAGTAATTCAACCAACTCTTCTTGGAGACATCCGGATTACTTCTGGTGAGCGAGGATATTCCGCTCTGCCAAGGACGCTGAAGTCGGGATGCGGCTCGCAAGTGGATGGATGTATGCGGTCTGTCCTATGTCCATCACAGCTTACACAGTATATACTGTACACTCAGCCCCACTGATGGCCTCTGGGCCTTGGCAGGATAAACAGTATTCGGTGTTGAATATCAATGTCGGATCCTCAAGCTTTCTTGTGGAGAGTTACTACAGACACAGGGAAACTGAAGGAATTCATAACATGGAGGAACCACCCTGCCTAGTCTCTGGCGGCGCTCGCTTTCCCGAGGTTAGCACCCCACCGCCTTGAAAGTGGGCTGTACGGATAAGCAACTGATACCCCTTGGTGTCTTGAGGCGATGAACTACATATACGTCAGCATTCGTTCCTTACGAACTGAGCTACCACGTCGAGTTGAACAGTTGGGCAGAAAGCTTTGTGACCTTCTTCAATCCGTGTTCCTTCATCTAAGCGGAATCTCAAAACTGAGATCTGTCCATCTCATCCCAACCCAAAGTCGTTCCAGACGGGAGGTACCGTACCTTACGCAAGTCCCGTAAATTTCCGAAACAGCAGGGGTATTGCCGATCAAAGCCCTGCAAGCCGTCGGATGTGAGCCCTGCTGACGCCGGTTCCAGCCGGTTTCAGCGTCACTGCCGGGCCCCACTCAAAGCAGTAATCGGTAAACTGACGCTGTTCGGTCACGTTCGATGCAAATTCCTGGAACATAAAAAGTCACTTTACGCTAAGGTCATCTTATGTATAAAATCCCCAATCAGTCCAGGGAGGCACCGAGGGCATCTACAGACGGCGGAATAGAGTCAACCGGGGCAAAACACACTCGCAGCTGCCCGTCATGAACCGGCCGTCGAGAACGGAGGACGATCTCGAGCATCCAACGTGGAACCAAAACCCGCCGTTTCTAGCCGCGGACCTGACCACTCGGCAAGACCTCAATGGCATTACCAACGCCCGCGAACACCGCCATGGATGCTCCGGTCGTGGCAATGGGTTGGACCTCCTCAACGACGAGAAACATAGCAGCGATCTGAGGGTTGGCTACTTGGACAATGACTCCTTCAACCCCTTCCCCTCTGCAATGAGCGGTCGGGTTACCCGTGAGTGCTGCCCTCACTGTGCACTCCAAGGACTACTAGTACTGACGCTCACTCACGTCATAGGTCCGTTCATTGCTCCCAAGACAGTGCTTGGTGGTGAAGGCCAGGCCTGTCTTTCCCGTCGCCGAATCCGGCCCCCCGAGGGTTGGATTGGCTGGATCACGTCGGTTGTCGTAGTCTCTGCGTTGATCAATGCTGCTGGCAGCTTACTCCCGGATCTGTTTGCTAGCGGTCTCAAACCGGCCGTGCAAAGCGTCGCCAAAGGTTAGCCCCTTTTCCATGCCCCGAACCGCAGCTAGCGAGCCGTCACCTACTTCTGGCCTACCTGCTAAACATCTTCGCAGTCGAAGCCCCTCTCCGCCGCCTCACAACGCGTCAGAATACCTGCGCGAACAGCGTAGCTGGTGCGGCAGATTACAACACGCCTCTCCATGTCGGTGCGCTGCTCATCATCCTCGCCGTCTCGAGTCTGGCCTGTGCGACCCCCATGCTCGCGGCCAAGTTCCCCATACTCCGCATTCCGGAACCCTTCTTCTTCGGCGTCCGCCATTTCGGCACCGGCGTCTTGCTTGCCACCGCCTTTGTGCACCTGCTGCCGACTGCCTTCATCTCCCTCGGCAACTCTTGCCTCTCGAGCTTCTGGACCACCGACTACCCGGCCATGCCGGGCGCCATTGCGCTTGTTGGCATCTTTTTCGTCAGCGTCATCGAGATGGTCTTCAGTCCCGCGCGCAACTTCATCCCCCGTGTTGCGCAGCCAGGGGAGTCCTGCGGTACCGAGGGGTCAGGGACAGAAACGCGAGCCGTTCCATCTGTGATGGGAGGCGGGCACTGCAGCCACGCGGCTGTTGTAGCGACCATCACACGTCCCTCAACCATCCGCCGGGCAAGCATCGAGCCGGTCTCGCTGCGGGATACGGGTGCTCCTCCTAAGAACCAACCCACCTTCTCCAAAGAAATCCGGGAGGCGGAGTCTCAAGGAGGGGGACTCACTCCGGAGCAGGTCCACAAGAAGAGTATTCTGCAATGTATGCTACTGGAAGTGGGAATCCTGTTCCACAGCGTCTTCATCGGCATGGCCCTGAGCGTAGCGATCGGTAGCGACTTTGTTGTCCTCTTGATAGCCATCGCCTTTCATCGTCAGTCCTTTTCCCTTTTTCTCCCCCCGTTCTCCCTCTCTGATGGATGCTAACCACCAGCAGAAACCTTCGAAGGACTCGCCCTGGGCGCACGCATCGCCTCCATTTCCTGGCCCAAAAAGACCCTCCAGCCCTGGCTGATGGTTCTCGCGTACGGATGCACGTAGGTTGCACTTTTTCCTTCCCCAACTTCTCTCTATTTCACAACTAACCTTGAATGACTTTCCAAGAACCCCAATAGGCCAAGCAATCGGCCTGGCCACGCACACCCTCTACAGCCCGGACTCGGAGTTCGGCCTCATACTGGTCGGCACCATGAACGCTGTGTCGTCCGGGCTGCTGGTGTTTGCCGCCCTGATCGAGCTGCTTGCCGAAGACTTTTTGAGTGATCAGAGCTGGAGCATCCTGCGGGGTAGGAAGAGGGTGACGGCTTGCTTTCTGGTGCTGCTGGGGGGGCTGTGTATGAGCCTCGTTGGAGCATGGGCTTGAAAGAAAAGAGATCTCTCTCCTCGCCATGCGAACAGTCCATCCTGTGTCGTGCGACCATCGATCGGCGCTTCTGTTTACTTGAAGCCGAGTCTGACTGGGGAATCTCAGGGGCATACTCGCATGACGTCACGCTCTTGGCGGCATAGTGAAGGGGAGACGCAGGATAGGAATCCATTGCTTAAGTGGCATTGGATTGAAGATGGATACAAAATGAAAATTTCAGATGATGCAAATCTTGTGTGCCATCAGGCATCTACTTCCTCGAGTTTCACAATTGTGCGAGTATGAGAGAGGTCTGCGGAAGTCTGAATAGGAAGTGATGGTAGGGCGCTATAGTTCTTTATAAAGTTCCTTCTGCCAGACCTCCGCAACAGCTCCTCGCTACGGCTGGTGCTCACACCAGCAATTCTTCCGTAGTATAGTGGTCAGTATGTGAGCTTGTCACTAACCTACCTGACATCGCTCGAGACCCGGGTTCAATTCCCGGCGGGAGAGATTCTTTTTCGCAATTTCCCCCCTTTCCACCTCAACCCTCTCAACCTTATTCCGTGGATGAACGAACCACAGACAACCTCTTCTTTCCCTTCCCTGCGTCCTGGCAAACACCCCGGCCCTCAAGAGGTTATATGCACTTTCAGGAATCTCAGGTACAGTAGCCACGTAACTCCAAGCCAGATATAGTTAAATCTGTAGGTATGGTCTAGCATCCCTCATACTACCAAACCATCTCTGAAAGATCTAGTATTGTCAATACCATCAAGTCAGCGGCAAAATCGTCAACCCACACGGCAACAACACATCATCCGGGCCGTTGTGATCATGGACAGAACTCCACAGAATCTCCTGCAATTCCGAGTCATCCTCGACAATGATCTCCCTCGATTCCCCACGCCCAACCCCCCTCATCCCATTGTTCCTCGCAGCATCCGCCCTCTCGACCGCCTTGACGAGTAGCTCCGCCACGCCCTGCCGCAGCGTGCATGTCGTGAAGATATTGCTCGCCTCCACCGTCTCCAGCAGCTCTTTTTTTTCCCTCCCCTGACCGATCTCCTCCAGTTGCCTCTTTACCGCAGCGGGCGTCAGAGAATGATGACGATGAGGCCACTGCGCGTCGGCGAGGCGGTGCAGAAACAGCAGGATCCCCGCCAGCGCCTGCGTCAGCAGCACTGCACGCTCGTGCGGCGTCAGGTTGAGCAGCATGCTCCCCGACTCGGTGCCGCTGCGACGGAGGCACTCGGCGAGGAGGCCCTTTTGGGACGTGTCGAAGGTTGCGTCGAGAAGGCGCGTCAGGAGGTCTTCCGAAGTGGTTAGGTTGGCGCTTGGGTCGCGCAGGTTGAAGAGCTGGATGGCTTTGGCGAGGAAGTTGGGGAGAATCTCGCGCATGTCGATACCGTGCCGCTTGCGGGCGTGGCCGGTGTCGACTTCGAAGTACTCCTCTGCCGCTGTCTGGGCCGCGACTGGGAGGGGTCAGTCAGTCTGGTTCAACTGCGTATGTTTTGAAGAAATTGGCAAACTCACAGCGGGTGGATATCAAGGCAGAGTTCCTCTGCGCTGCCGCAAAGGCAAACTTGACGTTCTTGTCCCGCAGACTGGCCAATGTGGCCTCGGCGAGCTCTTCGGAGCTACGCGCACTATCCTCGTCGTCGCCACTCGAGACGCAAACCCGCGGTATTGTCCCGTTCAAGACTTCGTCCCACTTCCTACCGATGTCCTTCTCAAACTTCTTGGACGAAAGATCCCGCAGGATATGCGACACGGCGACCTTGGACAGCCCGTGTTCATCGGCATTCCGCGACCACTCCAGCTTCACCTGGCTCACAAATTCATCGTATTTGGTGAAGACGAGGACGATGGGCATGTGCGGTGCCGCCGCGTGGAGGTCGCCAGTGAAAAAGCGGGTTTCGAGCTCCCCTACGGATCGGTTCTCCTCGCTCGCAACGCAATACCATATGCAGTGAATGCGGTCCTCTGGATTGGTCGAGGCCGCCGACCGCGAGGTGAGGAAGGCCCGAACGCGGTCATAGTTGGCCTCGTCGGCTGTACCGAAGTTGAGGCATGTGTGGATGGCCAAGCGGACGTTCTGGCCTTGGAGATCGAGTCCTTGGTCGATTTGGTGGTTCACGCTGAAGGCGTCGTCCACGAGTTTCTGTCACGGATATCAGTATGTTATGTACTGTACAACGTCGAACACCCTGTCAGGCTAACGCGGACTTTCTCAAGGTCAACTCCAAATATCCGGGCGAATAATTCCTGTTTGGTCGACTCCGGGTTCCCGAGCACCAATATGCGGAACTTGGGACACGCAGCCAGAAATTCGGATGATGGTGAGAGCGCCGGTATGTCAGTCATAACGGCCAAACACGATGAGACCAAATATGACCAAGACACGAAATGAATGTGATGTTCTCCGCACCCAGCACATTCTACACCTGGGAGGAGGATAGATGGTGTATTTATGCCCTGAGCGACGAGTTGTAGTGTACTTCCGCTGTCTTCCGGTAATGCGGTTCGGCGTGGCCTGATCACGCCACGGTCATACCATCAATCACCCGCCCACTTCGCGCTGCCTCCCCGCTAATTGGACAAGGGGTTTCTAGGATCCCAAAGATGCCAAACAATGTACCTGACCTTCTACTCGTCAGGCTGGTTCCTTCCGTTGTATTGACAGCTTTCTACATAGATCTGTGAACGATCTGGCTTCACCTCAGGACTCCTGACCGAGCTTTGTCAGATGAGGAAATTTGTGTAAAATACCTTACTAGGGTATTAATCTCCTACTGTGCTGCTCTTCAGGGTTGAGCAAGTCTTACTATGAGGACTTCCCATGTATGTGAAGAATAATTGGCAAAAAGATGTGCCGAGCTACGGGCATGTATCATTTCCTCAGCCCAGAGTTCAAACAAACGTCACTGCCAAAGGGTACCCGACCAAGTTTCGGTCATACGTCTATTGCATTTGCCATACTAGTAGTCCAGGAATTAGGTGATTCCAAGTGTCTCTTATACTCCTTCTCTACGCTATTATGGCCTGGACCATCCCTCTTCACGGAACTTATGCTCGGTTTTAAGCTGATCATAGAGAATGGTAAAAAGCATAATTTTTTGACTATCACGTAATACTAGGGCGTTCTGTATCTCTAGTGAGCTGCTTTTAGACTTGACTGTCATTTCAGTCTGGATAATCCTGTGTTCCGGTTACAGATGATTCCCATTCCATCTGCCGCCCAAGAAGCTGATGGGGGCTGCCAATTTCGAGTACTAGTCAATCCGCTTCCGAGCGTTCGAATTAGGTACTGTATCTGCTCTAAACACAGGTTTAAAAGATCGCACTACCTGAGAATTGGACTTGGTGCCTCGGTGTCATTTGTTACTGTATCTCAGCCTGTTTGCACCGCGTGTACTACTCGTCGGGATGTGCATTTGACATTCTTCCTCTCTTACATGGTGTATCTCTGTGTCACACTCAGTCACACTTACTCAATGCCTATTATTGATGTGCAGACCCATCCATGACCATGGCCGGGAGAAACTACCTTATGCTATGACTTAGAATGTAGAGCTGGGATTGGGAGGATGAATGAACTCTGCTGACTTCTATGATTGCCGAATCAACGACCCACGTGAGTGAAGCATTGACATCCCGCATTCAAGTGGAATGCTGGTTAGTATCCGGATACCATTGAAGGTAGGGTTGGATCGGATGGTGCAATAGTCGGGGGTTTTCCTAAACGGGGACCGGCCGGCCGGAGGACTGGCCGGGCCACCCGGCCAAGAGTGCGATTCTGTGCAGGGTTAGGGTTTCTCTTGTCCGTATCATGGTTCTGGCCGGCTACCTGTGGCTGAACTTTTCCTTCCTTGCACACGCAACGCCCACACATGCATCACCAGTCCTCCATCCCAAAGGTTCGCGCATGAAAGCACCACAGTTCAGCGGGCCGATTCCTGCACAAGCACTGCGACACTAACATAGCTAAAATGCTACTGTAGCTGATCCGCTCAATGGCATGTGAAGGATGAAGCATGAAGGGACCGGTGCGGGGAACGCTGACTTGGCACTCCCGTCACAGTGCTTGAATGGCTTTCCCAACTTCCCAAGAGTGTCTCGCTTTCTCCCCGTGTGAACATGGCACATTGCCGTTGGTGCTACCAGCGAGCCATGAGAGGCTGCCTGGTGACCCCGGATTCGCCCAGCAAAAAGCGCTCCTGGCTGATTCATTCAAGGGACCTCTTCAGACCAGGGGCAGGGCGTCTGAGGTGCGGGAAGGGCGGTGATTGGCTGGTATCAAATCCAGCTTCCTGAATGGAACTTTGGCTGGCTGGAAAGGAGGCCGCGGTCCTTGAACCTTGTCGGGATGAATTGGAGTTGGGATCAGGCGCAGATGACCACAAAAGCCACATGGGAAGATGGTACCTGGATGAAGTTATTTCTTATATCTGGGCCCCGTCCCGTCGACGGGGCCTTCCACAGCCCTGTGGCCCGACCAAGTGCCACGATCTCACCGCACAGTCGGCAGCCCCAGAGAAGCGTTGGACAAGCATGAAGGCTTTCCGGTTGCTGGCCCTCTTGGCCAGCTCTGCGTGGCTCCTTATGGGCGGGCAGGCCGACGGTGTGTGCAGTCCCCAAGACCGCACGTACAGCACCGAGACCATGCCCGCGGGCAGCCACCAGCCGTTCGACAACCTGAATCCCTTAGTAGGGCCGTTCAAGACGAAGTTCTTCATCACGGTGGTGAATCTCACCCCGCATCGCATCAAGCTGGATAGTACGCATTCGTACCAGATGGACATATTTGACTTCGGCGACGTGCCACAAGGCCGTGCCCGGCAGAACGCGGTCAAATACCGAGGGACGTGGTCCACAGGGGATGACGCTGGGGAGGCGTACTATCGCATCGACGGCACGGACAAGAAGTTCGCCTTGCGGGTCAAGTCTTACGCCACAGGTGCCAACCCGCGCCGAGTGGTGATGGATCTCAGCGGCATGGGTCTCGGCCAGCGCGAGTACGTGTTCCCGGGCGGGGAGACATCGGTGTCTCTCGTCATCACGGGCAGCAACAAGTTTGGCTTCCAGACATCTCTGCGGCACGGCGCCGGCAACTGGATGCGGAACATGTACGACGTGATCGGCAGCCGCAAAGTTCGGCACCTCATCATGCCCGGCACGCACGACGCAGGCATGAGCAAGATCAGCAACATGATCGACAGCATCGGCAGCGCCGCCAACACGCAGACTCAGGGCATCAGCATCTACAACCAGCTCCGCGCTGGTTCTCGCTGGTTCGACCTCCGCGTCGGCTCCGTCCATGCCAACGACAACGCCGGACAGAACAACGGCTTCTGGGTAATGCACGTCAACGACGAAATGGCCACCATTGCCATTGGCAACACGGGCGAGTCCCTGGACGAGGTCATCCGCGAGATCAACCAGTTCACGAGCGAGAACCCGGGCGAGATCATCTTTCTCCCGCTGCGCTATCTCGTCGGACGGTACGAGCT